AAATTCAACATAACCCTAATCTCTCCTTTTCTCCTTACTTAATGCATACAATTCAAAATTAACCTAAAAGGACCTAATTGCCCTTGATCCCACATCTTTTTGCTCCAAGAAACCAATTCAAAAACAAGTGAACCCCACCCAAAACACTCCTCAAAATCCAGCCGGCTCCCCTCTGTTTTCCGCCTGCTTCCGTCGTGTGTAGACAACCCGAGCCGGCCCAATGGCTTAGGCCGGCTGGACCGGTCCAAAGAGGACTGGTCTAACAGACTACTCCTCTAATTTGTAGCTGAACAATTACCCTCTTTGGCATCCATCCATATTTAATGATGACTCCTCTAATTTGTAGCTGAACAGTTATCCTCTTTGGCACCTATAAAAAAACCCCTCGTCAATTTTTCTCTTTGAACGCATAATTAACCTCTCTAGCTCGTTCTTCTCCTTGTAGCTTAATGTTGCACCTTTTCCCAGTCTTCTTTCCACCATCGCTCTAATTGCTGCAGGCGGCAGGGGAGGAGAAGGCAGACTTGTTCGACTTGGTGTTGTGGTGCGGCTTCTTCTCCAGTGGGAAAAACCTGATCAGATATGGCTAGGGGATTGAAGAAACATCTCAAGAGGCTCAATGCCCCCAAGCAATGGATGCTTGATAAGCTTGGTGTTGCTTTTGCCCCAAAACCATCCTCTGTCCTCATAAAGCTAGAGAGTGTTTGCCCCTTAATACTTATATTAAGGAACAGGCTGAAATATGCTCTCACTTATCGTGAAGTCATTGTTATATTGATGCAGCGACATGTGATGGTGGACGGCAAGGTCAGGACAGATAAGACCTATCCTGCGGGGTTTATGGATGTTGTCCAAATCCCAAAAACTAATGAAAATTTTCGGCTTCTTTATGACACTAAGGGGCGTTTTCATCTACACTCAATTAGGGATGAAGAGGCAAAGTTCAAGCTCTGCAAGGTCCGTTCTGTCCAATTTGGACAGAAAGGCATCCCATATCTTAACACTTATGATGGACGAACAATTCGCTACCCTGATCCTCTCATCAAGGCTAACGACACCATAACGCTCCACCTCGAGGCTAATAAGATAGTCGAATTCATCAAATTTGATGTCGGCAATGTTGTGATGGTTACTGGTGGAAGGAACAGAGGTCGTGTTGGAGTGATCAAGAACAGGGAGAAGCATAAGGGAACCTTTGAGACAATTCACGTCCAGGATGCTTCAGGGCAATACTTTGCTACTCGCCTTGGCAACGTCTTCACTATTGGAAAGGGCACAAAGCCATGGATTTCCCTTCCCAAGGGCAAAGGCATTAAACTATCCATCATTCAGGAGGCCAGAAGGCGCCTTGCAACTGCTGCTTCAGCTACCACTGCCTGATTCGTCGTAAAATGAGGGAGATCATGTCGAATCAAGCTTCA